CTTCTTACTTACCTCGCCGAGCGTCGCGTCACTGCTGCTCCGGTGGGCGGCGCTCCGAGCGGGGTCATCTGGCAGTCTCCGGCCACCTAAATTAGGACCCGGAGACTGCCAGATGACCCCGCTCGGAGCGCCGCCCACCGGAGCAGCAGTGACGCGACGCTCGGCGAGGTAAGTAAGAAGAAACCTGACCAGCTCGAGGCGCTGACTCGAGTATAAGCCGAGGGGGGCACTTTTCAGCAAAAAAAATGGGCTGAAAAACTCGGCTTATACTCGAGTATATACGGTAATAACTAAAAAAAAGTTTGGGCTAGAAAAACACATATGTAAATACATTACTTTACTGGGAAACGCAAATTAATTGTGTTAATTCAGCATATTCTGGGTAGAGGCAGTGACTTTTGTGTCACTCTCAGAGAGTCTTTGCCAATGAACCATAATATTGACCAGACCAGATATATACCTTAAATTATTTTTTTTTTTTTACTTGTTCTGACCTGCATAATATTTGCATTATGTATGGTTATGATTAAGTGACAGTATACTGGCAGTATGCTACCAAGTACTGAGGTTTTCTAAGAAAATATGAGCAGTAACGGGGATGGGAAGGCCCAGGAACCAAAATGTCATATTTGTTTCTAGCTTCTCCTCACAAGTCAGACAACAAAAGCAGAAAAACCATTTTATTGGTTTTCAAAAGAATAGTGCATCGTTAAGCATCAGTCAATACTGTTAAATGTTCACTTTCATGTATTTATCTTAAATCTATAGGTGGTACTGCTCATGTATTAATAGAGCTCAATTTATCTGTGAAGGTTCTCATTCATACAGGTTATGGTATATCTGTAAGAAATATGTCAAGGCAACTGGACTTGCTGTATTTTTCTTGAAGACATTTCACTGGTTATCCAACCAGCTTTCTCAATTCAGAATGACTTGTACAAAAAGTCTCTAGGAATAAATATGGTGAATGTTGCTCCAATCCACATAATCTTTTAGTCGCAACCAGGTGTTGATTGCATTTGCATAATTGGAGCTAGGAGGTGTTAATAACCTGCCCAGAGAGAGGTGTTAAAACAGCATTGTATGTGGCAGACAATAGATGTCTCATCCCCCCCCCTTTCTACCTCTATTCAAACTTTGCTTTTCCATTTTTATATAAGTGACCTCTTTCACACCTCTTTTAAACCAGTCCTCCTCCCTGTCTAGGATATATACTTGACTGTATGGAGCAACATTCACCATATTTATTCCCAGATCATTTTTGTACAAGTGATTCTGAATTGAGAAAGCTGGTTGGATAACCAGTGAAACGTCTTCAAGAAAAATACAGCAAGTTTCTTACAGAAACTGTTAAACTGTTAATGTGCTGAAATACCTTCAGGAGACCTAAGGTCAAAACATGCAGTAAAAGTTAATCATTATCCCAAAATAAGAAAAAAACTTACTTTTGGTAGCAAACTTTGAAAATGCTGCAAGACAACTTGATATGTCCTTCCACTCATGGCAAAATGATAGTCGCCCTGTGCCTCCTCTGAAATTGTTCTATGTTCAATATCAATGTTCAATGACACCTGGAGAACAAAGGGTTACAAAATATTAATAAATACACATAATAGCTCTGCTTAAACATTAAGTGGTGTCTTATCCTACTTAATATATCATAGATTTCCACTAGATTCATGGAAAGCTAACAATCGGAATTGGAATCTTACAGGAAATTGTTTTTGTATGTATTTTTTAAAATTGTGTTTTTCAGATGGAAGAATTACGTTTTTTTAAATTTCATTTTGCTGATTCTTAGATGAATATGGTATGTTGTAGAAGAATCGTTCATACTTAATACTTACAGCTATCAGGTGGAGGTAGGCGTCTTTTCAAAATTTCCTACACTAACATTAACAGCTCCCCTGAATAAATCCTGTTTTTTTTATACACTGAGTGGCCAGATTATTATGACCACCCCATCAGTACTTCGTTGGGCCACCTTTTGCCTTCAATTCTGCGGTGATTCTTCTTGGCATTGACTCCATGTTGGAAGGTAATGCGAGGAACCCGACACCATGCCTGATGGTGTCAGAGATTTGATGGTTGTGGAACCAGCTGCCTGATGGCTCTTTCAACTTCGTCCCACAAATGCTCAATTGGATTCAGATCTGGTGATTGTGGGGGCCACCTAAGCAAGGTAAATTCTCCCTCGTGTTCTTGGAACCACTCGTGCATAATACGAGCACCGTGGCATGGCGCAATGTCTTGTTGGAAAAAGCCATCTCCATTGGGATACGCCATCAACATGATAGGATGAACTTGATCAGCAACGATAGATTGGTATGTTGTGCTATTCAGACGTTGTTCCACATGAATTAAAGGGCCCAAATCATGCCAGGAAAACATGCCCCAAACCATAACAGTGCCCCCACCAGCTTGAAGGGTTGTACTCATGCATGTGGGGTGCATGCTTTCATGCTGTTCCCGCCAAATTCTCACTCTGCCATCTGCATGATGCAACTGGAAACGTGATTCATCGGACCACATGACTTTTTTCCAATGCTCGACTGTCCAATCCTTGTGTTCCTGTGCGAATTAGAGACGTTTTATCTTGTTAACTGCAGACAGCAAAGGTGTTCGAACAGGCCTTTGGCTTCCATATCCCATACGATGCAGTGTATGGCGAACAGTGCGTTCAGAGATCATTTGAGAGGATCCCTGATTAAGAGCTGCAGTAATTTGATGTACTGTTGCCCTTCTGTTGTCTTGTACCAGTCTTGCCACTCTCCGTTCTGCCCTAACATTGACTAGTCACTGACTGCCACAATTTTCACGCTCAGACCCAGATTTTCGGCTGACATTCCAGTCTTTAAACACTTTAACAACAGCTGCTTTTGAACATTTAATGAATTCTGCTGTTTTGCTGATACTCACTCCATGGCTCTGAGCGCCAACAATCATCCCACGTTCAAAGGCTGTTAAATCGCGTTGTTTACCCATATCTTCAGGAAAAAATCACTTCTACTGTCGTGGTAAACAACCTGCTTCCCTATTTATAATGGTCTGGCCCTCTAGCAACTTCAGTGCAAAATTATAGCTAATTTGCCTAAAAACGTCAGGTGGTGATAATAATCTGGCCACTCAGTGTAGAACTAAACTGCTAATGCTCAAATTACGCACAAAGCTGACTGAGTCAGAGGAGTCAGAGGAGTTATTCACCTCTCTACCTCATCCCTGCTGTGTTCATATACAGACCTAAAGAAATGCAGCTAAGCAAAAAGAGTCATAAAGGGAGTAGCTAATGCAGGGCTCTATTTTTGGAAACTATATATTTTAAAATCATAATACTTGAGTGTAAATAAGGATTTTGCATAAACAATACAAACGTTTTAAACATCCTCAAAAAAGTGTTAACATTAATGTGTAAAAATTTATAAAAGTGACCCCCAGACCATTAGTGTTTCCCTTTAACAGTATGTAAAAGAAAAAACATACTTTTGTGTCATTGGAAGTTTGTTCTTGGCTCTCGATTGCATGCCAGGAGATCTTTGCAGAGTTCAGTCCAGATGGTTCTTCAGCTTCTACAAGGATAATACTGCTGTTCTCAGGGACTAAGCCAGATGTTTTTGCCACTGTTATGGATGTTTGTAAATTATCACCTGTAAAGAAAAGACGCAGGGGGAATTTATCAAAACTGGAGCTGACAGAATCTGGAGCAGTTGCCCATGGCAACCAATTAGTATCTCTCTTCAGTTTGCTCAGGTAAGATTTGAAAACGAGACAGAGAAGCTGATTGGATGCAGTGCAAATCTGCTACAGTTTTTGTCTGCTCCAGTTGTGATAAATTCCCCCCATAGTATTTTGACCTAGCTATTTTCTTTGATTTAGATACAAGCCCAGACTGGCAATCAGGCAACTCTGGCATTTATGTCTTTATGGCCTCAAATCGGCTGCTTAGGAGGAAAAGGACCCCTGTTAAAAAAATAATAATTGCATTGTAGACACAATTTACTTTTGTTCTATAAAGGATCTAACGAGTGAAAATTTGTGTCAAATAATATTTATGCCATTAATAGTGAGCTCCTCTGGCACCCAAGGTGAAGATACACTTTAAAGGGCTCATAGAATGGCAGGATATATAGACATGTTTAAACTGCCTTTTAGTTACCCTGGCAGCTTGTGGGCAGTCTTTTCAGCCTTTCTATCTCCAGCCTTGGCATGCCTTGTGAGGCTTTGATGTTTGATTTTGTAAGTGTGATCATAAAGCTAGCTAGAGGGCATCACATGGTATTTCCCTTAGGTGAGCAGGAGTATAATCCAACCCTGAGAAGCATCTAATGTCTACATAAGAAACACTACATCCTTGTAGCCATAGAGGCTGTGAAAGACAATATGAACCTCATCAAAATCACAGTTACAACGGTGCATGATTTCATGCACAAATTCTGAAATGCATAATAAAAATTGAACACATCAGTTATTTTATATATTATACTGCACATGCAGTACTAGCTCCTTACAAAAAAAAAAAAAAAAAACTGCAAGTATACGTAAAGCTTCTGGGTTACCAGTAATCATGACAGTCCTGATGTTGGCAGCACTCAGTTCTTGTAGAACAGGTTTGGTTTCAGGTTTTAATCTGTTTTCCATTATAAGCAATCCAAGAAATTCCAGATCTGATTCAACATCCTCCCTAAAATAAAGGGATGTTCAGTTATGCTTGTCTGAACTGTAATTATTTTTCTGCAGACACAGTTGATATTTATGCCAGGTTGTGTGAATAATGTATGGATAGAATGTATTATTTCTGGCGTAGGTGTGTTTGCTTAAGCTGTTTATAAATTAAACTACATGTCAAATGAATCAGAGCTAAGTATATAACTAACACCTCATAATTGTATATCATATGTAGCTGTATACAGTTAATTGCAATGTAAATAATTGGAAAATGTTAAATAAATAAAATGGTGTAAATTTTGTATTAATAACCTTCATCTGAATGACAAGCTGACATTACATTACTGATGGTTTGCACTGTTCAGGACTAATTGGTTGTTTCCACAAAAAAACACTTTTACTTAGTACATCACACCTAATGAAGCTGCCATTTCTACAGAGCTTTTCTTCCTCCAGCACTTTATATGCCAGTCCAATAACTCGAAATCCTTTCATTGTGTAAAACTGAAGTTCACTAGTAAAGCCTTTTGGAACTGTATGAAACAGAAAAATATAAACTTTATTTTTAAACAACAAACTTTTTCTTATTGCTCCCTTTTGATCTGTCAAATATGCCAATAAATGTATTTTGTGATATCAGTTCACTAAAAATATTTTACTGCCTAAGTCAGTTGTGTAAGAACAGCCTTTTGTAACTAATATATAATATTCACTGGATTTGTTCCTGTCCTGAAAATGAGGGCTTATAAGACAAGGTAGACAAGTAATAATGCACACATATTATTTAAAGGAGAACTATGAGGTGAGTGCTTTTCACTCACCTCATAGTTCTAGCTGACCTGTGACAATGAGACTGTCACAGGTCGGCTCAGTAGATCGGGAGGTGAGCAAACACATACCGGCGTTTGCTCACCTCTCCATCCTGTCACAGCTCTCTGCCGTGACAGGGGAGGGGCTGGATTCCCCACTCCCCGCTCCGATCCACCAGCGCTGACTGGTGGATCGGACGGGGGAGGGGGAGGGTACAGCTGGCTCTGCCTCTAGATAGGCAGAGCCAGCTGTCAGTTTTGTCGGGATCCGCTTCAGCTGCGGCGTCTCAGTATACCGCGAGCTACAGTTCGCGGTATACTGAGCCTAGGGTGACGGAGGACGCTAGTTTGTGTCCTCCCATTACCCTAAGGAGAACTATGGGGAAAAGCCTTAACCCCATAGTTCTCCTTTAAGGTATATTTGCACTTTCACACCTATTTAATATGTGTTCCCATTAACATGGCATAAGCTAAAAATATATTTAAACAATGCTTCTTACAGTCTAAATTGCTTTTATTTGGGTAAGGGTTTTAAGGGTTAAAATTTATTCTAGCTTCTCTTTCTTTGAAATGTTAGGAGGGGCTGTGAGGGGTCTGAGGTGGCTTGTCCATTGTATTTTAATGAAGCTTATTAGATAAACACAATCCTCAAATTTGAGTTCTAAATCTTTCCATTAGACAGGCCACTGTGAAAAGGCTAAGCAAATCCTGGAATCAGCCATCTTGCCTGCTATAACAAAAGATCTAAAAGGTAAGACATTTTTTACAAGTTATTTTTTAGTATGCTGTGTGAATAGGAACACATAACCAACATGGAGAAGGGTTTTCTCAAATTTGCAAAAGTAGAATTACACTTTAAACATAATTTTTTCCAGTTTTATATAGTAGCTCCCCATAGTCACTTACTAGTCATACTATAAGGTGGTAATAAAAGTAAGCCCTATGAATATGAATTTGGGTGAAAAACTACCAAAACCATTAACCACCTCCCGTCCATAGCCCAGCGCGCACACCAGTGGGGATACTGTCAGCCATGTAAACAGCCAGCGATGGCTGTTTACATTCAAGCGATCAGGCATCTCTAGAGACACCCGATCGCTTATACTGGCTGTGGGTGTATGCCCCCGTACCTCTGGCGCCGGTCCCGAGATCCGCTGTGCCCGGTGCGGCTGGGACCGGCACGGTGCCGTTGTCAGTGGAGATCAAAGGGAGGTCAGTACACGATCTCCCTTTGATCTCCTCTGCTGTCCCCGAATGCAGGAAGCGATGTGTATTACATCACTTCCCCCATTAAGTGACACTCTCCGGTTACAGATGCCGGAAAGAAGCTGATGAAGCAGATCTCTGCTTCATCAGCTTCTCTGGGGGGCCCTAGGTGACATCAGGGGTCTTGGAGACCCAAGATGTCTCCATAAAGAGGACCTGTTATGTGAATTGGCTATCACATAGGGGATTTCTTAGTAAAAGGTAAAAGCATTTAAAGCATTGCCTATGGCCAATTTTGGGTGTGGTCGTGTTCTGTGACTTCGCGGTCGCACGCAATTTTCAAGCCTGACATGTTTGGTGTCTATTTACCCGACGTGACCCCGTCTTTTATGTTGTACCAAAAGAATTGGGTAATAATAAATGTTTCATAACATTTAAAAGGAAACAGATTATTTTTTTTCAAAATTTAGTGTACTTTTTTGGTTTTATAGTGAAAAATAAAAACCCCAGTGGTGATTAAATACCACCAAAAGAAAGCTCTATCTGTCCACAAAAAATGGTATAAAATTACTTTCAGTACAGCGTTGCATGACGGAATAAACGTCAGTCAAAGTACTGTAGTGCTGAATGCTGAAAAATGGCCTGGCCAGGAAGGGGGTGTAAACTCCTGGTCTTCAGGTGGTTAATAAGGGGTTAAATATTAATAGTGAAATGGGACATCCCTGTCTTGTATCTCTACATTTTTGAGGGAAGTAGAAACATATTCATCTAAATTTTGGTTAGTGGTGAGTCATTCATTACTTTTATTCATATCTAAATTAAAGATAGATATTAGAGTTAAAATATTAGAGGACTTTCCTTGGACACATTGAAGAACACAGGCTGAGGGAAACTGTGTAAAGACTTCCCTCCAGTTAAATCACTGAACCACAAATGTGTTATTAAATGTAAGCTGTGGGTGGCCTGAGCCATACAGCACATACAGAAGATACCTGGGCCTAGCAACCTTACTGGCTGTAGTTGCACATGGTTTACAATATTATTATTAACTGATTTGTCTTCTCTTGACAATATTCCGTACCACTGTCTTCACGGCAGAATTTAGTCACCATCTCAGGAGCTCCTTTCATATATACTACAAGTTTATCTTGTCCAATCTCTTGAGTGATGACAGACATGCGCTGTAAACTTGAAGAAAATGGAAACTGGTGGATGATGGCTATTCCTTCTGCTGGACTCTAAAAGGTTGAAAGAAATGATGAATGATAACTATTCAAATGTTGGAGAACTGAATTATAACTAGTGATTTCCATAAGTAGCACCAGCTAACAAATAATAAAGGATTTCAACTCACAGAACTGCATGCTTGACCAGGCTTTACAACCAGACTAGATGATGCAATTTCATTATCTTCAAAATTTGATTGCATAAATTCCTGTAAAAAAAGTAAGGTTAAAATGTTAAGGAAGGAAGGAAGTTAGAAAATATTAGGTATGATTGTCAGAGGTGTTTAATAAAGCAGTGACTGTAAATCAAGTGTAAGCAAGAGAAATAATGATGTTAACATCGATCAGTACAGTAACCCAGGAACAAATTACAATTGAATTTGCTATAGTCACCACTGCTATTTTCTCTGCCTAAGGCATTCATAAAATGATTGACAACCCTGCCTTAGGCAGAGAAAATAGCAGTGGTAATGTTCCATCCCTATGCTAGAAATATTCTCTTAACTGATCTGACTATAGCAAATTCAATTCTAATTTGTTCCTGGGTTACTGTACTGATCGATGTTGACATCATTATTTCTCTTGCTTACACTTGATTTACAGTCACTGCTTTATTGCATGGAATTAGTGTAAGTACAAAATGTTACTGTTGAAGTATTTATTTTAAAAATAAACAAATACAATTATCATAAATGTGTAATAATTTTTTTTTTTTTTTAAATAAGTAGTGTCCCGTTGCCAGGTTTCTTGATTGCCCGGGAAGCTGGCTCCATGCTGTTTTACTGGTTCCATGTTCTCTCATGGCACTGCCGGTCAGAGGAAATCTCCCTCTGACTGGAAGTTCAGGTATCAGGGGTTAGGGCCGGTTCACACCAGCTCTGCTGTATTCCAGCACGATTTACTGCTGGAATGCACTTGAGCGCATCCCGGCTGGTTTCCTGTGTTCAGGGGCAGAAGGAGGCGTGGTGGAGCGTTGAAGTCAATGGCACTGCAGTCACATAAATGCAGTGGACCAGAACTCAGGCATTGCTATGCCACGAGCTGGTGTGAACCGGCCCTAAGTATCGGAGCACTTGGGCGAGTACGAGCATCGGTATTGGTGCATCACTACGGCAAACCATTATGTTTAATTAGATGCTATTCATGAATGGTGTTATTGCGGTAACTTGGTGTCATGTTATGATGAGGGCATGAGGTCTAAAAACACTGTGGTGGATCCATGTCTCATTTAATGGAAAATGTTTGGCATGCAAGCAGTATGCCTGCCCATTAAAGCCAAAAATATATATCACTGACAATAGATGATTCATGAGAAAGTTATATATTTAATAAGGGTGAAAAAAGATTAATGTCTTTTAATTCCAACTTCCAGCTACTATACTACATATTAAAACAATTTACCACTCAACTGTTAAATACAAAAAAATCCTTACCT